CTGTCGAGGATCCAAGTATTTCTGCAGGGGTGAACTGTGAACTGTGAAGGGTTTTGAGCTTGGGATTCTTCAAGGGTATGAGTGTATGACAGTCACAGACAAACATGAAGCGGGGGGTACAGATATTAAATGGAATAGCCCAATTTGTCTACCGACTCTACCGAAGTATAGCTTCAAGAGTATAAAAGCTTCGAGAGCAGAGCTTTAGGCTACTATTTGTTGTATATTAGTTTCTCATCCCCGCCCGCATGCTTTTTAAGAAAATTGTCTTGTTCGCCAATTATTGCCATTTTTGACCATTATTATAAATTTTGTGATGTCTTCAAAATGATATTTGAAAGAAAGACATGCAATTAGAAACGTTCCCAAACCAAAAGTTTTAGTTAAGATACGAAATTTCATACCAATTGCAAAACTGCCAGTTTCTCTCGCATTTACGTAAAAGTTCTACCGAAAGCCAGGGGCAGGGAAAAAAACGCGAGACGACTAGGCTACAAAATTATTTCTCTATTCTGTGATTATTTCACATGTGGCCATGTTTTTAAGATGAAAACATACTCAGTTGCACTCACGAGGCCCTGTTAGGGTTTTAGGATTACGGATTATTTGGCATTTTTGGGCAGGATTACGGATTATTGCTAGTTAAAAAAAAAGATTATGGATTATTTTGATAGGATTTTAGGATTAAGGATTATTGATATGCAAAGATCATATATCATTTTTAGCCATTGAAAATAAAAATAAGAGGTAAAATGTGCAGTTTGTAAGACGTCATAAGATGCCAGTCAATATCAATATCTTCAATATGCTGCAGACACCATTCAAAGGTGCTAAAAATTTTTAATTATTGACCATTTTGCACATTTGAGATGGAACACGAGCGAACTTCGTGCAAACGCGTATGTGACACGCATGAATCACGCGCATGAATCACTCGAGTGTCACTTGATTTTGCGTGGAATAATTTGACTGTTCACATTTCTTTAAATTATTAATTTATATATGTGTATTTATTTATTTATACATTTAATTATTAATTTATATCTGTATTAACCGGTCCTTAAACTGAGGAAATTTTGACCTTTTTAAGGAGACTTTTAAGGAAATAGAATTTTTAAGGAATTTTGAGTTGTAAAACACACCAAACAATAATTAGTTATTACACTGTTTGTTAGACTTATAAGTTATATCCATCGACCTAATGAAGTTTTTGGCAGTAGTTTTTCAACTGAAATCGCTGATCATCTTCAATTTTGTTGTTCGTACTTAGTGACTCTGACTCGCTGTGTCTGAGTGACTCTGACTCGCTGTGTCTGAGTGACTCTGACTCGCTGTGTCTTTGAAGCGCAGTTTTCGAACACAAACTTTTTTTGAAGCAAACTGCATGATGGTTCGTCGTTCGCGTTTTTTGGCCGCAACAAGCCAAATACTTCTTTTTTAAATCAGTTTATTCTTTTTTGGAGCGCTTCCCTCGGATTCATAATCAGAAAATTCAGAATCCGCCATTTTCCGATGTAAAAAAGTTATTTACATATTTTCGCGCCAATTGCGCCTATGATCGCGCGCCACTGAAGTGTTCCCCGGAAACTAGGACGAGTCTAAGGAAATTTTTGTCGATTTAAGGAATTTTTACCACTGAGTCTAAGGAAAATTTGGAATTCCGTTCTGAGAGCCCTGATACCGGCTGCGAGGTCTGTACTGAAAGTTCCTGAGTCCAGATCCAGACCTTCCAGTTACCGTGAAATTCACGCATTTTTGTTTGCTATCACGCATGAAGTGACTTTCTTCCCGCATTTTTAAACTTTAACTTGTCGAGATTTCTTTATGTGGGGCAATTTGTCCCATTTCTTTTCATTTGCACAGTCAATGTTAAATGCATTCTTTTTGCCAACGGCAGTAAAGCCTAACCCAGAAGTCTTGAGAAGTCTTGCATGAGAATGTGTGTCTCAATGGCATATCAAAAAGAGAGAAAAAGCTGGGAGACTCCTGAGCCTGAGGAGCGTGATTTTTTGCCGTTTGGGAAGGAGTAGCAGCGCTAATATTTCATATTTTTATAGCATGAATACATAAGGTTTGCGCTTCGAAAAAGGCGTAAGAAAAACCTCGGAAAGGCGATCTGAGGAATTCAAATTTCAAAATTTTGCCAACCATGGTGGCGCCTCGTGGATACTAACCCAAGGAAATTACGTTCCCGCATAAAAATTTTCAAAACTTGACAGGTCTGTGCTTCTGAGGCCGAGGGGATCGATATTTTTTAGTACGGACCAACCTAAACGGTAAATAACGTGTTTATTTTTTTATTTGATTGTTCATTGTTATAATGAATTCCGATAAAATTCCAGTTGGGCCAGTTGCGAAGTACATGGAGGGAGGGCGAAGCCTTCTAAATTTCCGACAAAACTTTCA